TAAATAATGAGACCAATTCCAAGATTCTAGCTGCACGGCAACTGGGCTAATATAATACATTATCATTTAGCCCAATACAAATATCTTAGAGAATATTTTGTTTTAAAATCATCATCAAAGTTTTATTATTTGTTTTGTAAAAAAATGTTTTTTATTTTTCATCATAAAACTTTTAATTACAAAATGTTTAATAAAAGTACCTAAAAATTTAGGGACAATGTTTTCATTAAATAAGCAACTTCTTTAAATAAATTGAAATTGATTTAATATTTTAAACATTATTTATTTAAATGTTGTAATTATAGCTAAATCTAATGATTGTTTTTAATGTAATTGATTGATAAGTTTAGGCTAAAAGTTTGTTTCGTAAATATTATTTTGATTAAATTTTAAAACTAATTTTAATCATTAAATATGTCAAATATAATTAGAAAAGTTAATGTTTATTTAAATATTATTAAATTAATTATTTCTGGGAAACATAGAAATATTTATTAATTAAAAATATATTGAAATACCATAAAATTTATATTGTATTTAATACAATGTTATTGTCTATAACTTATAGAAAATATTAATAAAAATAATGTTAATATTACGGTTAAAATTATTAAAATGCAATTATTATGGTTAAATTAATCTATCTAATTAGTCTATCACTTCCCTCAACTATTATATAAAGTTAGTTATTATATTTGGTTAGTCTAGTTAATTATTTAATTAATTAAACACACTTCCCAAGGTAGGTGATTTTTTTTGACCGCGTACACAATACCATCCCATCTATGTCTCACTCTAAACACAGTGCCGAAACCACCCTTCCCTATCTGATCGAGTTCATCAAAAGTATTATGATAAAAGCTGTTTTGAGACACTTGGCTGTTACCTGTAATTAGATATAGTAAAGTTAATATATTGTAAAGTTTACATAGATTTTACAATATATTATCATCATGTTTTATAAATTTTAATTACCATTATTGCTTCCCATTGGTGTAATAGTATCGCTATTACTGGCCATCGGTTGTAATACTTCTCTGAACTCTTCAAATGACATAACACTCACTGTATTATCGCTTTTCATTTCGATATCGTTTGATGTAATTATCGTTAATTCATTCATATCTCGCAAATCAATAGTTTTGTTAGTTATTTGACATTCTTTGGCGTAAAAGCCGACAAAATTGTTATAAAGTTTATTTTGTTTCGTAAACTTTGCGGTCATTTAGTATTTTATATACTTTTTTGTTGTGCAAAACACTAATGAATTCATTGTTAGTATTAATACCGAAATGAATTTCTTGCAAATAATAGTTAACTATTTGTGTCGGAATTGATTCAATTAATACATTACTGTTATTATAATATTTGCCAGGAAAGTAGAGACCATTTGTTGTGTAAAAATATGTACCAAATTGTGAACAACAGACAGATATGACATCACTTATGGTTGATATCATTTGGGGTTTTAGTACCTTATCTTCGGGTATATTGTGTCCCAATCGATGGTTACTATTCTCACCCCAACTGAAGACACGTCCGTCGGATGTGATGGCAAACGACGAGTCGTTATAACAATAAACAGATTGTATTTTATAATTAAACCTAAATGTCATCTCAATCGGTGTATTAGTGAATCCAATGCCATCTCCACATCCAATCTGTCCGTAATAATTGTTACCCCAGGCATACACCCGGCCGTCACCGGTGAGCGCCAGTAAATGTGAATAATCACAACTGATTTGAACAATAGTTTTACCGCTAAGATATTGTATGAGCTGTGGTCTTAAATATTCAGTTTGATTATGACCCTGGATCAATGGTACACCAAGACTATCCCAACTGAATACGTTATTCACAGCATTCACTGCTAACATGAAATTATATCCAAGAGAATATTAAAATGCAATTATTAAGATTAAATTAAAAGTTACAAAACAATTCACTAACTGTTATATCGATAAAATTTTTTAAATATACCAATAATTCATTTGTCCATAAATGAGTTTAAAGTATAATTTGTGTATAAATGTTATTCAATTAAATCATGTAATTATTAATTAATTTTAAAATAAACTGATAAATAAGTTTAAGACTAGTTGTGTTTTGCGCAATATTTTTATTAAATTTTATTCATTAAATATTTCGATAATTAGATAACATTAGATATTTATTCACATAAATATTCAGATATTTATTATTAAACGTATTTCTCTATTAAACAATTAATTAAAAATCAAAGCCTTTATATGTAATGAAAATTTACACAATAATAAGTATTTAGAGATAAAAATTCAATTCAAAAGTTATAATATGAGAAAAAAGTAATGAAAAGAGTTTTTATACAAAATTAAGAATTAAATGTTATGTTTTGTTCTCTTAAATAGCGATTAAATGAATGTCTTTTAAAATCTATGGTTTTGTTTCGCCATTTCATCCACTTTTGGATCTCTTTCTATGATTACAATCGGCTTCTTATTGAGTTTGTCGTCACTTTTTGGCACAACATCTTCGCCGTCATCGGCGGTCACGTCAGACAATAGCATCGATTCATTCAGAATCTCATTCAGACTCAAGTCATCAAAATCATTGACAATCAGCGGCTGATTCTCGAGATCTTGAGAATCCCATTGTCTGTCAGTTGACGGACACAACCATTGCTCCAAAGGCTTGTCTTCGAGTCTCTGAAGAGAGACATCGAGTGGTCGACAGGCGATAGCAGTCAGACGTGACCTCCAATTCAATGCCGTCTCTCTTCTCAACAACTGTTCCCTGCGTTGCCTTCGAGTGAAGCAATAATTCATGTTCTCTCGACTTAACTCCTGTCCCAATTCCCAGTCCTTTGACGCCATCTCCATATTCTTCGCCGTCCATTGATTATAGCGATTGCCCGACGTATAGGACATCAATACCTCATTCTTTGGGTATCGTATGGGAGACCACTTCGTCTCCTCTCGTGAAGAATGTCCACTAATCTCAAGAGTTTTAGCCAAAGTCTCAGACAATTTTGACGAGAATTCAAAATTGGACACAAATTTCAAGAGTCGATTCCGCCTTCGGTTCTCATTTGCCATCTCTTCAGTCATCGCTTTCTTAGGCTTTGGTTTAGGCGTAAGTCTCTGTTCCAGTGTTTGCTTCCGTTTGCGACCCCTTTTGATGACACTATTGGTGGCAATCGATTGATGCGATAATCTATTGACTGTTTCGATGGACTCTTTGTCGGCAACTGAGACACGGATTCTGTTCACTATTCTTAAGGGAAACGTCTGTTTCAACGATTCCTTTGGTTTGTCCGCCAATTCTTGTCTCGAAATCAAATTCAAATTTCGCATGAATTCCGGGATTTCGATGGATTTGATGTCTCTTTCAACGGGTTCTTCAGTTTGAGAAGAGTTGACGACATGTTTATCGTAGAAATATTTGTCATATTTCTGGATCTGTTCTTCGCTCAGCTTTTTGATGATAACCAATGGCTTACACTTCAGATCTAATGTTTTGTTGCAATTGTGGCCAAAATTCAATGAATTCAACCATTCATTGCTTTTAGGACTCAATTGATTGACTTTTGAATCCATTCTTCTTCTCATTAAAAGCTAATAATCTAATGATTTGTGTCTAAAATATGATATGAAATAAGATATCTTAAGATTAGTTTTTGTGACATATTTTTGCATTTTTATTGAAATTAATGTAAAGATTATTTGTGGCGCAAAATGAATAATGAATTTGTAATTAAAATATAAACAAGGTTCACACAGCGATGCTATACGTTAACCACAATTCGGGTATTGCTCAAAGAATAGATTAGCATTATTTACAGATTTAATACGAGTCCATAGGATTAGCATTAGTATCCATGAAGACCGTAGACCAAACATTGCCATAGACATAGCATTACCCATAGACCTAACATTGTATATGTACTGATAAGTTATCAGTGATAATAATATTGCAATACTGGTAATATTTTGACAATATTCTTGCAATATTTGTCAATACAACTACAATATTGTGTCGTACTTTCAAACCAAACCCAAAATTCAAGTTTTTCAATCACTACTTCACATCACAGATGGTATTGTAGTGAAGCGGACACACAGTCCTGTCTATACATACAACACATGCAAAAGTGAAGGTAGAGTGAAGGCAGGGGTTGGCGTATATCAAACAAACCATAGATCACTATATTTAATGGGTAGTCGTGTTGAGTAAATGTGTTTCCCATGAACTCAAAGCCTGGTCTCCTTTCCTTTCTCTTCCTTATCCACACATTCCCCCAATTTTCCCAATAGAGAGCACAGAAACACGTGATCGCCTCCGGGAGGCCTCAAAGCTGTTGCGGTTTGAAACCAACCCTCGGACTCAACAAAAGACAAATTGTGCGAATGGACACAAACATCTATATTCAGGAAAACTTTGAACTAACTCAACCACATGTCATGCATGGCCTTATACTGTATACAGAGCACAGTTGCGCATACATTAGTAAATTACTGGTAAGAAAGTGAGTGGAAAATTATCAGTAAAAGGCGAAAGATTATTATGTGTGATATACGCGAGATCTGAATAGTTAACATGTGTGCAAACGTATGCTGCATATGGCTATACAATAAACATGTGTATATACTAAAAGAGTCCAGGTTGAAATAGGGTGTTTATAATATGACCTTGTTATGGGTTGGTATATATGAGTAGAGTGTGACCACGAGATTGATATTCAACCATCAAATCGTGCCAATGGCCACAAACACTCGCGTTTTGGCCAAATTTATGGTCAGATATATCAATATAGTGCTTAATGCATAGTATTTTAAACCACAATTCAGCTATGAATAATGAGGTTTATAGGATCGTTAGGCCCCCTTCCGGCCCCCACCCTATGGGATTTGACATGGGATTACAGCTTAAGTCTATGGCTATACTTTCATTTCAAACTTATTTCTCACTGCATAGATATGTAAGAAAATGACAATAAATCTAATTATAACTCGAATGTTTGTGGCCATTGGCACGATTTGATGACTGATAATCGTTCTCGTGTCCACACTCTACTCATGCATACCAACCCATACCGGAACAGGTTTTACAGTAATGCAATGCATACATGCAATACATCAAATATATCATTGCATTTCAATAGTATAACAACATATCAACTAAACAAACATTTTACTAATGATTTATAATGAACAACAATTATTTGTTGTTAAATTTCATGCAAATTAGTATTGAAATACTAGAGCCGGAGTCGGTTCAGAGGCGCGGCTCCAAAATTTCAATCACTAATGTGTGCATAAATTCTCCGATAAAAACATTCAAAAAATAACCTAATTATAGTCTCCCATCACAACAACCAGTCAGACCACTCACACCACACAAACACACATCCCTTTCCTCCCTGTCCTCTACTGTGTGCACACATCGGACACACACTAACTCTCCACTCGTTTTGTATATTAATTAAAATAATTAAATCATTAATAAAACGCTTTTGAATCAAACCCGAGTCTACCATTCATTGAGAGCGCAAACACTCGCTATATTTCAAAACAAATGTTTGTCTAAATTATAGTATTGTTTGTGAAAACACTTTTAAATACAAGAACGTCAAACACTTGCAGCCATTTGTTAATCAATTCATTAATTTAATAATTAGTAACTGAAACGAGACTTACGTTTAGACGCGTTGACAACAGTTTGTGTGAAACGACACAAAAACACAAATCAATAACAACTGCTTTGAATCGACAACTCATACAAAATGACTGCAGTCTTGTGTCGATCGCTACTCTTATACTCTTCTGTGAGTCGACGCAGAGTTCACTCAATTCAACGAACACTCAATGTATGGAAAAGTAAATACTGTTTATAACTCAACGGTTCAGTCGTTATACTGTGCGACACATGTGTTGTATTGATTGCAGTCACGGTTTAATGCCAAGTGTTTGTTTACAACGATTGGTCATATGTGTGCGCATGCGCTAAATCGCCGCACAACTTGTGAGGGATTGTATTGTTATTACAAGACGTCAACACTTATTGTCTTATCTCTCACTCGAAGACCGATTGAGATATGAATGTGTGTCCAAACAGACCATGAAATTGATATTCACGACACAAACACTTATTTTTAATGACAATTTTAAGCATAAAATAACTGCATTTGAGTTGTAGTTTGGGTGTAATGAGAGGTATTGAGTGGTCCTATAGTTGGGAATCAATGTCTTGCAGTCGAGTCTCTGTCTAAGCGTTGAAACTATAGTTTGGTTTTGAGTGTTTAGGCATACGTGAGTTGGGGGCGAATCTAAGCCTAAACCCCCTTTATTTGATACGTCTCTGAACTGAAGTAATGATTATAACTCTTATTTCACATTTGTGTCAACTCTTCCACAAATGGGACAATAAATTGACTTCAATTAAAAATATATAAAATGGTTTAATTGAATGCAAGTATTAATTAGTTATACAATTAAAAGTCTTAAAACACTAGCGTATAATTAGGCCGCGTATTACACCGTTGGTTAACCGGTGTGTGAGAGCGCGACGAGAGTATCGTCACTGCAGTTGTGTGCGTACGGAGTGTTCGCCACCGACTGACCGGAGAGGATCCGAAGAGTGAGAGTATCACTTGACCACATCGCAGGTGGCATTGAGTGCGGACGGAGTGTTCGACCATCTGGTAGGGGAGGACCCGAGTGAGGACTCACACACCCATCGCAAGTCTCACGCCTGACCAGAGTATGGTTGGAGATCACTTCGTCTCCTCTCCTGAAGAATGTCCACTAATCTCAAGAGTTTTGGCCAAAGACTCAGACAATTGTCTTCCATGATAAGCAATGGCTTACACTTCAGGCCTAATGTTGTGTTGCAATTGTGGCCACAATTCAATGCATTCAACCACTCATTGCTTTTAGGACTCAATTGATTGACTTTTGAATCCATTCCTCTTCTCATTAAAAGCTAATAATCTAATGATTTGTGTCTAAAATATGATATGAAATAAGATATCTTAAGATTAGTTTTTGTGACATATTTTTGCATTTTCATTGAAATTAATGTAAAGATTATTTGTGGCGCAAAATGAATGATGAGTTAATTAAAATATAAACAAGGTTCACACAGCGATACGTTAGCCACAATTCGGGTATTGCTTAAAGAATAGATTAGCTTTATTTACAGATTTAATGTAAGGAGAAACTGCCACTTTTGGGGTAAACATAGGATTACGACATTATTTAACTCCACATCCATAGCAACAGAAACCGAGTTTTGTTAAGATTAGATCATTACAGGAATTGCACGCATTTTTAGGGCTATACAATCCTTTTATAATGTATTCCTATGAGACGGTCACTGTATTTGTATTTGACGGCTGAAAATTGGTTTGAATTATTAATTTTCAAACACTATTAGACAATACAAAACCAGTTATTCAAAGAACATGCCTTAAAATTACATCAAATCATAATTAAAATTAATTGTTTTTTAAAAAGTTGTTACAATTATTTTCATTTCGTATACAAAGAGTTAAATCATTGAATAGTTTAACAAATAAGTCAACGCTTGCAGAGCACCGGCAAAAATAACCATTTCCTCAGCTGTTAATAAACAGTGGTTTAATTTTTGATTTATAATTTAGGAAAAATATTTAATAAAAGTTTACTGAAAACCATTACAACTTTTAATTATTACAATATTATTTGTATTTCAATAATTTATAAAAGTTTTATTGAAAACTTCTAAACGTCTATAAATGACAACAACATCTGAAAACTTTTTATGGGAAAAGTTTTGAACAAACATTAAATATATAAATTTTATTGATGAAACAGTGTTTTACTATTACATCATAGCGTATATAATAATGCATACATTTTATTGTAAAATAGAAATTAATAATTTAATCGACAAAACAATTATATAATAAGAAAGTGTTTCAAAACAATGACTGTTTCGACTCAACGGACTCTGGATTTAATGGTTTAGTCGTATCGGTCACTGGTTTTGGTAGTGTCTGGACATCGGATCCCCCTTTTGATGGTGTTTTCAGTTAAGAATTGACTTTCGGTTGTATTTGAATATAATATGTATAAATGCGTACAATTTTCTCTATAATTTTTCAGTAATTTTTTAATTAACAGATTAAATATAAATGTAAATGCAATTAAATATTTATACGAATAAAATACAACAATCATGTTATCAATGATGGCCTCAAAATATTTACAAAACTTTAAACATAACAATTATAAATTAGAGACTAATAATTATGAATAAAGCATTGACTTTTAGGTGACAAAAA